CCAGATATGAAGTTCAGCCTATCTCCCCTCCCCGCCCCCGACAATCCATGTCTCCGCGTGAAAACGAGGCGTCCAACGTATCGCGTTTCCCCCGACTCGTGGCAATCAAGCCACCTCGTGCGGGGAACTACGCCCGTGACTCGTGTTGTCTCAGCATAGAAAGCCGCGTCACCTGATGCTATACCCCGCCCCCCCTGATACTTGCCGCACCAGAGAGAGAGTAGTCAAGTCACTCCGTACGTCCAAACCCCCGGCTGTTGAAAATCATATCACCATCATATCACCTGATGCTGCAAGCCCTCCTTGATTCTTGTCGCAAGAGCTAGGGCGAGAGAGCAATCATGTCCGCCACAATAATGCAGTAGCCCCCCAGGAGAGAGAGCAACCGAGTGACCTCACCTGATGCTGTATACAGAGGATGCCCTCCTCGTTGACTCTGAAGTACGTCTCGTTGGCGTGCCCTAGGGCACGCATGCCGGTCTCCATGCCGGTCATGAGGAAGGCCCACGATACCCCCCTCGCGGTGCATTCGAAGCACACTAAGGACTGCGAGCTCTTCGGGAAGTCGATCTCGCTGAAGGAGGAGGAGGAGGAGGAGGAAGTCGTGGCAGGAAAACGACACAAAGAAATAACTGGTAAACCCGGCAGATATTTCATACTTCCAAATACATACTTAGAAGAGTGAGAAAGAAAGACAGAGAGAGTGAGTGAGTGAGTAGGACAGAGAGGGGGGGGGGGTGGGTTCTCCACCCCGCACAACATGATCTACTCGATCACCATTATGGTTATCGCCAAAAAAAAAACGGAGGTAAAAAAAAAAATAACCCGGTAACCTGTTTGCCGAGTTCACGAAGTGAATTGGCTTGTTTTACAACGTCGTTGCCAAGCGACGAAAACCCAATCCCGATGGCAAACACCGGGGGGGGCGGCTTGTTTTACAACGTCGTTGCCAAGCGACGAAAACCCAACCCCGATGGCAAACACCGGGGGGGTCGGCTTGTTTTACAACGTCGTTGCCAAGCGACGAAAACCCAACCCCGATGGCAAACACCGGGGGGGGCGGCTTGTTTTACAACGTCGTTGCCAAGCGACGAAAACCCAACCCCGATGGCAAACACCGGGGGGGGCGGCTTGTTTTACAACGTCGTTGCCAAGCGACGAAAACCCAACCCCGATGGTAAACACCGGGGGGGGGATACAGAGAGGGGGGGGATAGATATAGAGAGTGGGTGAGTGAGAGTGAGAGGGATGGAGATATAGTCCTACATACAAACAAATCGAGAGAGAGAATGGCAGATAGAAGGCGGAAACTACTTATAAGCAAGGATCGATTCTGGGTAGATGGTTGTTGTCACGTGAGCACGAGAACCTGTCCGCTGTCGCCTGTTCTGCCGGATCATGATGACATGCCGTCGACGCGTCTTCTTTCGCAGATCATGACGGTTCCACGACGCCGAAAACCCAATAGCAACACCGCCGTCGCGCGCGGCGAGGAAAGAGTTCAATGCGCCGGTCAAATCTATGAAACATTTCGTACTGCACTCCAAACACAGGGTGGTGCATATGTCTTTCAATGCGCCGGTCAAATCTATGGAACATTTCGTATTGCACTCCAAACATAGGGTGGTGCATATGTCTTTCAATGCGCCGGTCAAATCTATGGAACATTTCGTATTGCACTCCAAACATAGGGTGGTGCATATGTCTTTCAATGCGCCGGTCAAATCTATGGAACATTTCGTATTGCACTCCAAACATAGGGTGGTGCATATGTCTTTCAATGCGCCGGTCAAATCTATGGAACATTTCGTATTGCACTCCAAACATAGGGTGGTGCATATGTCCTTCCACCCCGTGTTCACTCAAAAAACGAAGGGAGGCCAGGGGGAACGCGCTGCAGGTCGCAGAGGTGCACCGCGGTAGTCAGTGCCGCCTGAAAAACGATCGACAGAAGACGACCATAAGCAGGACGGAATAATGGCTTCCGGGGGGGCCGTGGCTTGAGGGGGGTGCCATGGCGCACCTGGAGCCGTTGGAGCCCTTGGCGTAGAGCTGAAGATGCGTAGCCTCCTGCCCGAAGGTCACCGATACGCTCGTAGCGCCGTTCAAGTCGGCCAGCTCTTGAAACGCTTCCTGAAGGCCTTGGGGGGTCCCGTGTGTGCGTTGAGGGCGGGCATGCCGTGTGTCACGAGGGGCGTTCTTACACGTGGAACACGTCGATGGACGGCTGTCTACCGGTGAAGTCATGGCCAATCCTGGACAAGGGCGAATGGGGCTGACGGTAGAGAGATGAACTCTTGTGGTGGAATCTTGCACTTCTGGCAGAAGACGCGGAGTCCTGCTTCGGTGATCTTACGGCGGAAAAGGACGCGGCCACCAGGGCTTACGTGTTGAGGGTGTCTCTCTACCCGAGAGTGTAAGATGAGGTGACCCCCCTACCGTGGAGCATGATAGGGGCGTCGATTTTTTATTATCATCCCCAATTGTTCTGGACGTCGGGTGTGCACCTATTCGGTACGATTCGATTCTGACCCACCCGCCGGGGTCACACAATTAGTTGCAAAAAGATTATGTGTGCGCTATCATGATGTGTCACCGTAGGTAGTGGCTCGCAATGGACGGCTCTCTGTCGACCCTCGAACGAAATTTGTCAGCCAGGGGGGGGGGTACTCATAGTTGTGCATGCCGTAGTCGTCAGACCATTGACCTCGCATCCCTACAAAGCCGGGACGGAGCACGCCGGGTTCTCACCGGACCATTACCAAGCGCGAAGCGCCGTGAGGTATTCGGCGAGTCGCATAACGGTTGCGATGCACCCTGCTAAGGGTGTTCGGCATCGTGCGCTTACGTCCTTGCGTACGGATGACAGCTGCGTGTAACTTATCTTTTTCTGGTGCTTTCACTTCCAGAGACAGTTACAAGCACTGTGTAACTGCCTCGAGGGTGCTTGACCATTTTAACACAACGTGGTGCGATCATCCCCCTTGCGCGAAGTGAGGGTTCTCCACCCCGCAGAACACGATGTACTCGACCACCATTCATGGCAGTGAGGCCAGGGAGGGGACAATCAACACAAGAAGAACAACGAGGTGAACGGCGTCGCGTCCTGCCCACCTCGAGAATTTTTTACTTGAGGATGCAGCGGCAGACCTCTTTGCTCCTGCCGAACGCCTTGGCTAGGGTCGAGAACTTCATGGCTTCCTCGTCCTGCGTGCGTACGTGTATCAAGAATCACACCAGAAGACAAAGCCAGGTTGCACGCAACGCAAAACCCAGGAAATGTACGCGGAGTAGAGGCGTGAGATAACAGACAAAAGGTCCACAAGGAGGATGGCTGTGCACGTTACTCTGCAGTTACCGGGGAAAAGATGGAAGGACGTCCAAAAACTGCAGAGTTCACGACGTTTGATTCAACAAGCGCGCGTCTAGAGAGCAAACCAAAACTGCTGACAAAAACAACAACAATCCGTACCTGGTGGATGGTTCTTATCTCGCAGCTCGTGAACACCCCGCCCCCTTCCAGGGTGAGGCGGAACGTCGCTCTAGCCTGCCATCGGAGAACGTGCGGGCAACACGGGTGGGTCTTGTTGATCTTGCCGCTCGGGAACAAACGCGGCGTCTGTGGAAGTTCACCCACAGGATATACCTACCTTCCACGAGGATTCGAGCTATTCCTGCCGCCGGCGTCACAACAACGAAACCCGCCACCTCGCCGTTATGGGCTGCATGCAGCTCGCCCTTTCGCTGAGCACATCGCGGCCACTATTTCGCGATAGGCGCGAAAAGGCGGCCTGGTCGCCGTACGCACCCGACAAGCTTAGCAACGCCTTCGTTCGCGACGCGAGCACCCATGATCCGCAGAGTGCGAAGATGCGCGGCCAAGAGCCCTCCCCCTCCCGCAACAAGACAGGTAGAGAAAAAAAAACAACAGCGATATCTCAAAAGCTTCGGACAAGTTTTCGCGAGGATTATCTTACAAATCTACGAAAAGGAGACGGGGGGGTTCAAATCCCAATCCTCAACCCTAACCCTAAAAACCAAAAAAAATGCCCTGGTCAAGGCTACACAAAACTTACCTCCTGGTACGCCATGCTGACACTCGTCTGGGCGAGAGAGCCCCGACCGAAGATCTGCAGGCACTCCAGCAGCGTGGTGAGGTTGATGCCGAACTTGGCGCCCTCGACACAGTCGTATTCCTGGAACAGGCTGCTGTCTAGGGACCCCTGCGCCTGTGTGTACTTGGCTCTTCCCGAAACCACGAGGGTCATCGACTCCTTCGTCACCTATTTGTTTTGTTGTTTTTGTTTGGCACTCGTTCTTGTCTTGGGTAGTGTTGTTTCTTGCCCTTGTTGGTTCCTCTCGCGGTGTTTGGCGATGTAGTCATCGTCGTCGTCAACAAAGCTCAAAATGTCCAGACCTTATTCCAGTACCCCCCGGTTCCTACAAACCACTGAAACCCGACTATGGCAGGGTCCATAAGCCAGTTGGCAAGTCCAAGAAAGGGCCATGCCATTCAAAACACTCCATTTTCCTTGCCCTGTAGGGGCGAACTGTAGAACAACCGTGGTCCAAGAAAGGACCGCAAGTTTCGATAAACTCCGTCCTCAACTCCTTGACCTGTATGGGGAGGACCTTGAGAATGGGACATATCCATCTCCCCCAAGGTACGAGGAGGGCGTTGTTTTCACAAAGTGGTGGCTGGTTCTGAAGGATTGTTCCTCTTGAAACGGGGAGCACGACGGATTTGTGTCAGAAACCGTAGTTCTAGACACCAACATGTCGCTGTCATGATGGAAGTGAGCGTACCACCGCCATGCTACTCAAGAGAAAAAATACTTGTCTTATTCTCCAGATCAAGCGGCGAAGAGCGAGGCTCTCACCTCCCGTACAGCAGCAGCACATACATACACAGGGTGTCGAGCTGAAGAGGAGTCGCTTCATTCAGTTTTTCTACGGAGCACACAAACGAAGGCACTTAGAGCCGTTTCAAACACAGCTGATGAACTTCCAAATCTCTTACTTCCCAAACATTTTCCGTCGGCCGTAAATCTAGGGTCTATGATATACGCATTTGGAAATCTGGAAACTTGGAAGCGAAATGCTGTTTACTACGCCCCGTTTTCCTATAGAGTTATAAAAAAAGATATATACTTCGCACTGGGCCTGCTGGTCCTTGCGGGTTCCGTGGCTAAGGCAGGAGAGGATTGTGGTGATAGACTCTGCGTTGTCCAGCCGGCACGAAAATATTACTTCGTCGCTTTCTTCGTCCTCCTCGACCCCCCCCTGCAGACAAGGTTCACGCAGCGTAACGGCACAATGAAGGCGCCGCCAACAAAAGCCGTGGTCAATATGAGGTACACCCAACGAGACCGAGATGAGTGTTGAGAAGGGCGGCGGGCATGCCCTTGTGTTGACCCCACCGCTGGACCTGACGAGAGGCCGTTGAAATGTCAAAAAAAGCCGGCTACCTGCACGTACTGGCAGAGACGTATCCGACCCGAAAATATGTTCGAAATCGCAATGGACAATCACCGTCACGTTTGCATTACGTTAGGCGTGTGCTCAACACTCTGTACCCAGCTTACCATAGACCACTGCGCACATGAGATCCTCTTCAAATCTTGGTCCAAAGCCGGGACCCGTAGTACAGCAGCAGTGCCTATTCTGCACATTCAAACACTTTTACCTAATCTCAACCCCAAGAACACTGCTTCATTACCGCACGCGAAAGACAACTTGGGTTCCCAAGACGACACACGCTTACAGCAAGTACGGTAGCGCAGCGAGCGGTACAGAGCATACCCCAAAAGCAGCCAGTGCCAAAAACGCAAAAACCAATTGGCTACCGCATGAAGGTCTGTACCTGTCCAGGGTCGTGGTGCCGTGCGGGATCATCGACCCTTGAAGCGGAAGACTCCTGAGACATGATGCTGCTGGGGTGTACAGCAGTAGCCCTGGCTGTCCTTGCAATCTACGGCGGTCTGTACCAGTCTCGCGTTGCGTTTTTTTTTTTTACTTTTTTGGTTCCTCGTGAGGACAGCTAGCGCACGCAGCAATAGAAGCGCGCAGTTAGGACGTGTGTTCACACAAGGGCTACGTTTGCGGCCGGGCCGTAGTGCTGTGTTGTTTCTTGCCCTTGTTGGTTCCTCTCGCGGTGTTTGGCGATGTAGTCATCGTCGTCGTCAACAAAGCTCAAAACGTTCAGACCTTGTTCCAGTTCCCCCCGGTTCCTACAAACCACTGAAACCCGACAATGGCAGGGTCCATAAGCCAGTTGGCAAGTCCAAGAAAGGGCCATGCGATGCAATTCACTCCATTTTCCTTGCCCTGTAGGGGCGAACTGTAGAACAACCGTGGTCCAAGAAAGGACCGCAAGTTTCGATAAACTCCGCCCTCAACTCCTTGACCTGTATGGGGTGGACCTTGAGAATGGGACATATCCATCTCCCCCAAGGTACGAGGAGGGCGTTGTTTTCACAAAGTGGTGGCTGGTTCTGAAGGATTGTTCCTCTTGAAACGGGGAGCACGACGGATTTGTGTCAGGAGCCGTAGTTCTAGACACCAACATGTCGCTGTCATGATGGAAGTGAGCGTACCACCGCCATGCTACTCAAGAGAAAAAATACTTGTCTTGTTCTCCAGATCAAGCGGCGAAGAGCGAGGCTCTCACCTCCCGTACAGCAGCAGCACATACATACACAGGGTGTCAAGCTGAAGAGGAGTCGCTTCATTCAGTTTTTCTACGATGCACACAAACGAAGGCACTTAGAGCCGTTTCAAACACAGCTGATGAACTTCCAAATCTCTTACTTCCCAAACATTTTCCGTCGGCCGTAAATCTAGGGTCTATGATATACGCATTTGGAAATCTGGAAACTTGGAAGCGAAATGCTGTTTAATACGCCCCGTACTCCAATAGAGTAAAAAAAAAAAAAAATACTTCGCACTGGGCCTGCTGGTCCTTGCGGGTTCCGTGGCTAAGGCAGGAGAGGATTGTGGTGATAGACTTTGCGTTGTCCAGCCGGCACGAAAATATTACTTCGGCGCTTTCTTCGTCCTCCTCGACCCCCCCCCTGCAGACAAGGTTTACGCAGCGTAACGGCACAATAAAGGCGCCGCCAACAAAAGCCGTGGTCAATATGAGGTACACCCAACGAGACCGAGATGAGTGTTGAGAAGGGCGGCGGGCATGCCTTTGTGTTGACCCCACCGCTGGACCTGACGAGAGGGCGTTGAAATGTCATGTTGTTTTAAAAAAGCCGGCTACCTGCACGTACTGGCAGAGACGTATCCGACCCGAAAATATGTTCTAAATCGCAATGGACAATCACCGTCACGTTTGCATTACGTTAGGCGTGTGCTCAACACTCTGTACCCAGCTTACCACTGCCCACATGAGATCCTCTTCAAATCTTGGTCCAAAGCCGGGACGCGTACTACAGCAGCAGTGCCTATTCTGCACATTCAAACACTTTTACCTAATCTCAACCCCAAGAACACTGCTTCATTACAGCACGCGAAAGACAACTTGGGTTCCCAAGACGACACACGCTTACAGCAAGTACGGTAGCGCAGCGAGCGGTACAGAGCATACCCCACCAGCAGCCAGTGCCAAAAACGCAAAAACCAATTGGCTACCGCATGAATGTCTGTACCTGTCCAGGGTCGTGGTACCGTGCGGGATCATCGACCCTTGAAGCGGAAGACTCCTGAGACATGATGCTGCTGGGGTGTGCAGCAGTAGCCCTGGCTGCGGTCTGTACCAGTCTCGCGTTGCGTTTTTTTCTTTTTTACTTTTTTGGTTCCCCGTGAGGACAGCTAGCGCACGCAGCAATAGAAGCGCGCAGTTAGGACGTGTGTTCACACAAGGGCTACGTTTGCGGCCGGGCCGTAGTGCACGATACTCAGACGGACGGTTAGCAGCCATACCTATCGACTACACTTAATATTCTACGCATGCTGTGTACACTGCTACTACTGTTGTAGATACAAGAGACCGCGGATTGGAGTTTGAAAACTCAAAAGTTGCAAACCAGCTTCGCGAGACAGCAATGACAGCAGTGTACAAGGTGGCAGAGTAACAAAGTACAAGTAGTTTAAGCCAGCTATAAGCTATACGGAATTCATCAAGGTACCTGATGCGGAGCGAAGAGGGAGGAAGTGCGCGCGTGTCACGAATGCCGAATGACTGCTGCTGTACGCTGTACCCTTACGCTCGGCTCCTGCGGGAGGCGTTGTGGTTGGTTCTCCGCGCGAGAGTTCCTTCTCGGGATCAGGCTGATCGGGCCGCATGCACTCTCGGATCAATTGTCCTGCATCCGCAACATATCGCAGAATAACATCAACTACTACGTTAGCATCACGGCACAATCTTTGAAATCCGTACGCGCACCGGCCGAGCATGCCACGGACTCCGCGCCAAGCCGTTGAACGCCGTCTAGCTCCCGGAATGAAAGGGCTCGGGAGGCGTGACGAAGTTTGCCTCCAAACGGCTCCACTTCTTGCGCCCTCCTTGCCAACAGCGTGTGGCAACCTTGGATTTCCCTTGGCTCCGCCATCTGTCGTGTCGGGCCCGCTCCTCTAGCACGGAACTGTATGCGTCTATATGTGTTCCCTACTAGTGGCTGCCGTGCTGCCGGTTCTGCTGCCGCTCTGCGACCAACTGATGCTCGAGGCCATCCAGATACTCCTGTCGTGCGCCGGTTCCACACCTCTGCAAGTAATCTAGTGGCCGTAGCCGACCAACGTTGTGTTTCAGATGCTCTCCCCGATGACCTAAGGTTTTCGCACCACCAGCACAAAGCCTATCCCGTACCGCCACATTATTTTTCACCACAGGAATGACTTCCAAGCTCCACGGCAAGACGGATGCCAATGGCCGCCAACTGGCGCACGGTGACACGGAGGGGTGGGGTAGGTTTGTCCTGAGCATTTACCCACCAAACATGATTGGGTGGGCAACGCACTCGTTTGAGAAGGTGTTGGGTGGGGCGGAGAGCGGCACCATCCCCTCTCTGCGGGAGAGGTGGCTCCGGGCCTCGAGCCAACGGGGTCGGCCGCCACCCTGGAAACAATAAGAGGAAAGATGCCGCACATGCCGGTGAGCAGTGCCACTGAATCGGTGACTGTGGTTGAGGTTTTCGATCCGGTGGGGAGGGAGTATTCGCTAGACTTCGATAGCTTTGCATTGGAATGGAGCAAGGCCGTGGAGAGCAAGAGCAAAGTGATTCCCATCTTGCTGGAGACGGCCAGGCACCAGGGGCAGCGCACTGAAAACGTGCGTGCCACCCCCTTCTTGTTTTTTGCTTGGATGGTAGTATTTCACCATGACCAGCTTGCGAAGTGGGTGTCCCGAAGTAGTCCCTCTCGAGATATGCCTCTTGCTTTTATGGTCATACGTGCCTTCCATGCCCATGTACCGGTGACGTTGACGGGCACCACAAGCACGTGAACACGAGAATCACGTTACAACCTGTCCAGGGTTAAGAAGCCCCCATCAGGAGGCACCGTCGGAGGTCTTTCTGGTGGTCTTGCTTGACCTTGGGCTCTGGAGGCGTCGGCGGGATTTCAGTTGCCGAAGCAGCTGCCCTCCACTCCACCATTCGTTCGTGGTTCTGGGGCTCACGGCGGATCAGCGAGAAGTGGCAATGTTTGCACCCCCGCGAAGCACTACCCACAACAGTTTTCGGTCGGAAAGGGAACCCAACAAATGCACCGTGCCAGAGCTTGTGACTGTGAAACCGTCGCAGCGAAATGCAGTAAGGATGGGGAGGGAGTATTCGCTAGACTTCGATAGCTTTGCATTGGAATGGAGCAAGGCCGTGGAGAGCAAGAGCAAAGTGATTCCCATCTTGCTGGAGACGGCCAAACACCAGGGGCAGCGCACTGAAAACGTGAGTGCCACCCCCTTCTTGTTTGTTGCTTGGATGGTAGTATTTTCACCATGACCAGCTTGCGAAGTGGGTGTCCCGAAGTAGTCCCTCTCGAGATATGCTTCTTGCTTTTATGGTCATACGTGCCTTCCATGCCCATGTACCGGTGACGTTGACGGGCACCACGAGCACGTGAACACGAGAATCACGTCCTGTCCACGGTCAAGACGCCCCCATCAGGAGGCACCGTCGGAGGCCTTTCTGGTGGTCTTGCTTGACCTTGGGCTCTGGAGGCGTCGGCGGGATTTCAGTTGCCGGAGCAGCTGCCCTCCACTCCACCATTCGTTCGTGGTTCTGAGGCTCGCGGGGAATCAGCGAGAAGTGGCAATGTTGGCACCCCCGCGAAGCACTACCCACAACACGTTTTGGTCGGAAAGGGAACCCAACAAATGTACTGTGCCAGAGCTTGTGACTGTGAAACCGTCGCAGCGAAATGCAGTAAGGAAATCTAGCGGAGGGTGCGAGTGTGAATCGGCAAAGTTGCAGACCAGAGTTGCTAATTGTTTTTGACATCCTTTGACGGCGGCGATACCGATAGACCGAATCGACAACCGACGTGTGGGGGGATTAGACAATGGGGATCATGCGTAGATATATCCGTTCCGAGGACCCGACTGCAGCTGGGGAGAGCAGGACGAGTATGATAGAACGTTTTGCGAAATGCGTGGGGGGTTGGATGTGATGGAGGTGGCAGGAATATATCATTTTTTTGTTGAACCCCCCTCGCACAGCTGCCCGACGTGATGTCTGTCTGTAGCACTGGCGATGTTTGATTTCTTTCTTTGAGTATGATAGAACGTTTTGCGAAATGCGTGGGGGGTTGGATGTGATGGAGGTGGCAGGAATATATCATTTTTTTGTTGAACCCCCCTCGCACAGCTGCCCGACGTGATGTCTGTCTGTAGCACTGGCGATGTTTGATTTCTTTCTTTGAGTATGTTTGGCATCGCGGGTCAAGCGGAAGAGGTGAGCTTTGGANGCCCGACGTGATGTCTGTCTTTAGCACTGGCGATGTTTGATTTCTTTGTTTGAGTATGTTTGGCATCGCGGGTCAAGCGGAAGAGATGAGCTTTGGACTATGCGTTTATTTGTTTATCTCCTTTATCCCCGTTTGCCGTTTGGTCACCAGCGATGGCCGACTAGTGTTTGCCTGGGACGTTTTGATGTCTTCACGCTTTATTGTGTGCTCTTTTATTTTCGCTGCCTTTTTTGTGATTTCAGGAAACCCTTGTTTTTCTGTTTGCAGTGATTGAGAATTGTGCACCCTTTTTGGGCAGTCCGCTTGTGACCACGGAAGGCGTCCGTGTCACTCGGAACTGGAATGGATGGTAGTTGGTACTGGTATGGATGGTAGATGGCACTGGTATGGATGGTACATGAGACCGCGGGGGTGGGTTGCAACGCGAAGAAAATTAAACCTTAACAAGTATGTTGCCAGGTAGGCGTGGATACACTTCGAAATTGTATCTAAAACGCCCCGAAATGAACCCAGGGAGATGCCCACAGCAAGTCCTATGCCCTTCGACAAGGTCGGGCAGCCCAGCTGTTGATTTTGCCACCCAATCGTCGAAAGAGTAGCACCCTAACTAAGAAACATTTGTATTGCTGGGCCAGGTACGACTATGCTTGTGCGGCCGATACAATCAATCTTGCAGTGAACATACTCGAACACTCACCGCAAAGTCTTCAGGACATCTGTTCCCAAGAGGTGTGATCATGGACGTGGCCGTTCCAATAAATTGTGTACTGCTGTATGCATACGAAGAGACGAANCTAAATGCCTCATTCCATTTTTTGCGCTTCGCGCCAAAAACCATTTTAATTGCTGGGCCAGGTACGACCATGCTTGTGCGGCCGATGCAATCAATCTTGCAGTGAACATACTCGAACACTCACCGCAAAGTCTTCAGGACATCTGTTCCCAAGAGGTGTGATCCTGGACGCGGCCGTTCCAATAAATTGTGTACTGCTGTATGCATACGAAGAGACGAAAAATGCGGTTACTTCTCGAGACCGCACAATGGTGGCACACTTTCCCAGCCCAACACAGCTGTCTATTTCTATGGTACAATATTCTTTGTGCTGAACACGAGGAGCATACACGAAGAGCTACTTTCTTATCATCGATCCCCTGTGTGGCTATTGCCGTACGTACGACAGTGCCGTATGTACAGTATGTTGCAGGACAGATCGGTTTCGACACTTGATTTCTTGGCAGGCCTATTCTCATGCCTGAAACCGTCATATGTATTGTGGTGGCATAGTGTGATCTTCTCTGCGGCCAAAGCTGATAGAGGTAACCCGCCCCACGACTATCAATAGTACCGCGAGAGAAAAGGGAAGCGTGTTCGATTTTCAGGAAATGGGTACTGTCGAGGGCAACATTGACATGTAGAGATTTCCAGGCCATGCATTGCGTGATATAATTTATTATCTGAACTGTATCTACACTGTACTCAGCACCAATATCTCAAGACACTCTTATAGCATCGACTTCTGCTTCGTAAGAAAAGTAAAAACATTCCCCCGAAATAACCTCAGAGTTCGAACATCAATTACCATCTTACAGAGATTGACGTCATTTTCTTCGCCAACGGAACTGGAGCCTCCATCTCTCCCATCGGCGGCGACGACGCCCCCGCGGGCGGTCCAGCAGTGGTTGTCACTGCCTAGTCTCTCTACCAGTCATGCAGCCGCTAGTCGCCGCTAGTCGTCGTCGCCGCGGCCGGCGACAGACATGTGTACGGTGCTCCATCCCAGCCGCCGTCGCCACCGCTGCCGCCGCCCTCCTCCGGTCCACGGGGAAATGAACGCAGTCCATGGAGCGGCGTATCCCCCACCGGCGTTGATGGGGTCGAGAACAATCTCCGGGATGTTTTTTTCCAGGGTTCTTCGGCGCGGAGGAGCCCCCAGGGGCGATTGTCTCTGTATGCCGTTGAACACTCGCGGTATCCCGGCCTCGTGCTGTGGTCTGTTCAGGTAGGAGTACACGGGACGAGGCGAAAGGCGGCAGGCATGCACGTTGTACCAAATATGCCGAGTCAATGCAACCGAACCCATCATTGTCGTGTGCGCCACAGCGTGGGGTTTAAATCGTATTGACTCGACAGANAATCTCCGGGATGTTTTTTTCCAGGGTTCTTCGGCGCGGAGGAGCCCCCAGGGGCGATTGTCTCTGTATGCCGTTGAACACTCGCGGTATCCCGGCCGCGTGCTGTGGTCTGTTCAGGTAGGAGTACACGGGACGAGGCGAAAGGCGGCAGGCATGCACGTTGTACCAAATATGCCGAGTCAATGCAACCGAACCCATCATTGTCGTGTGCGCCACAGCGTGGGGTTTAAATCGTATTGACTCGACAGATGCTCCAAGCACATCAAAACCCGAATACGTGATGCAAGCGATTGAAAAACATCAGAGGCTCCGACTTACATCGCATCCTCCACCCTGGTTGTCGAGACGGCCATCAAGCGTACATGATTGGTCTCCCAATGAAGACATTGAAACTTGGACCACATGGCTGGCAAATTCCACTCATACATCATGTCCGATGAATCTACATATCGGAGAATCACCGACGTTGTTACCAAAGACACACACTCGTAAATANGCTCCGACTTACATCGCATCCTCCACCCTGGTTGTCGAGACGGCCATCAAGCGTACATGATTGGTCCCCCAATAAAGACATTGAAACTTGGACCACATGGCTGGCAAATTCCACTCATGTATCATGTCCGATGAATCTGAATATCGGAGAATCACCGACGTTGTTACCAAAGACACACACTCGAAAATACACACATTGCTTCGAGCCTGATGTGGAGCTTGCCTGCTCGACGCTATTTCAGGCCCAGACATGTTGATCTTTGAAGTGTCTGACATTGGAACCTGCTGTGGCAGTGTGAGTTGAAAGAATTTGCATTGCTATAGATATGACAGGCACAGAGAGTGAGTGTGTGAGAGAGAGGGCGGCCCCGATGGTGCGAAAGCAGTCACCTAGAGGACGACGAGGAACTCACAAACCAGGGACCTGTGCCTGATGAGGCAAGGGAGTTGTCAACAAGGTTGGTTCCCGACACAAAATTGCTATTTCTCTGTCAAGACAACAGCCGTGAATCCGAGGATCTCACGTGAATGTGTTTGCGTTGCAGCAGCTGGATGGCTTGGACGGCTTGATCGTTGTTCACGATGCTATGAGGGAGCAGTCGGTCAGGCCGGTCGAAGTGGATACGCGACGGAGGTTCATTTTGGCGGTAGTCCCTCGCGGGCCTTTCCAACATACTACATAGTTGGCATGCCCGCGATTGTCTTGTTCTGCGCATCTCAAAGGCAAACGCATACCGTCGTCGGCTCCCGGTTTGTGTGTGAGCGACCAACCATACACTGTGCATCGTTTTACCATGGCTCTTGCGGTGCCGGCGAATCCTCTCGGGCGATCAAGAACAGGGCCAACGTCGAACGGTTCTGATATTTCGATGTACCACAGTCTAATCCATAGAGCGAGCAGTTCTGCATCATTCCTCCGCAAAATGTGCAACAGATGATCACGGTATGTAGACACTTGTTTGAAACCCTTCAGTGCTGTCGTTAATGAGCACTGGATTCGTTTTGGGCTTGTTGCCATGGTCATGCGAACACCAAAGGGAACACGCGGCTACAGATGCTACCGCCCTTCGATCTCCGGCAAGTCCACACGTTGTGGGCAGCATGCCGGCATCGGCGACCGTTCTTAGCTTGGGTACATGGCCTCAATTCCTGGTGTGCTGCGACTCTGCGTCCTTACTCAATTCGGTTTGACCGTGTCCAGATCATTGACTTCGGTACCCCTGCCCGGCCATTGGAGAGACGTCTTGCTACACCTTGACGGCATAATTTCACTCGACGGCTGAACTTCACTCTTGGAAAGCATTTCCCGGGGGTGTTCATGTAGTACGTCCAGGGAAGGAAAACCGTCTACCGGTGAACTACATTGTAAGGTCCAGAAAGATAGCAGCGACATATATTTGATTTACAGGACTCGCTGTGGCTTCAATCATGATGGGCTACCACGTCTCGCGACAGCTTCGATGGGACGTGGATTGGTGCTCGGAAAGACGATGGTGTGTACACGTGGAAACTTGATATTAGTGAAACAGGTAGCAGTGCTGCGGCGAATAGTCCACACCTTCAATTCTCTGCAGCGCAGCGTTGGTGTAGGCTGAAATGGCAGGCGTCCTCGAATGTGAGCTTTTGCCCCGAGTTGGGCGCGTGGTCCCGAGAACCACAACACCCAATGCGTGCGTCGACCATTCACCCGACCAAAACCTACACCAAAAGCTACACTAGTGCCATGTGGACGAAGCGAAAAGCGGGGAAAATTCCAAGACCGCACCGCTCCTTCTCATCTTTCACCAGTTTGCCCATGGTTTTGTGTTCATGTTTGGGATATTTGTTTGGTGAGCGAAGTTTGGCGAA